TGACTTAACAGTTCGAAAATAGAATTGATAATAACAACAACAATACCAGCACTCGACATTATTTTTGGCTTTTTACCTATTGCGTAATAGTTCAATCCTGTTACTTATTGGTAATAATAATACTGACTTATAAGTGGTTCAATTTTTTGGAGCTTTTTTTGCAGAGATATTTGTTTTTGGGTGATTATGTGGATCGAGGAGGAATGCAACTGGAGTGTATTTGTATGCTTCTTGCTTACAAGGTTTTTAATCCATTATAAATAGACATATTCGTCTGTTGTGCTTTCAGAATTCATCACATTCTTCTAAATCACAATTCCTCCAAAAATCGGAGGATTGCCTAGAGACACAAAGTATAATCTATTCGAAGAGAACGCAGTGGAATGAAATGGACCAAAGATACTGAGTTTTAGGTTCTATATTCCGATCGAGTGTACTTATTGAGAGGTAATCATGAATGTGCACGAGTCAATAAAAGATATGGATTTTATGATGATTGCACGCGTTTTTTCAAAGGAATGCACGGAATCATGTTTTGGGAGAAGTTTCAGGTTATTGTTCAAGGGAAATTCATATTTTTTACTCTTAGATAGTGTGATCGATAATTTCCAACGATACTTTCGCTGAGGGCTCCATTCTTTTGCTAAACAATGCAAATTGATCTGACAATATGAAAAGCTGCCAGCAAATCGTTTCAGCCGAAATTCAACATCAGTAAATAATTGGTATATTGAACGCAAAAGTATGCTCAGTTAGCTGGAAGTAATTCCTTAGTGTGACTACTCGTATTGTTCTGAACGAATCAGTTACCTCCATTTCAGCGTGTATTCAACCTATTGCCAGTTGCAGCGTTGATTGAAACGAAAATATTTTGTATGCACGGTGGATTATCGCCATCAATGAAATCATTTCAGGATATTCGTGACATTACCAAACCTCTAAAGAATCCCTCAAAAGTTATTTTTTACGTCACTCTGCTTTGAATAGAAACCTTTGAATCAGTTAATATGCCAACTGAAATCCTACAAGAACGTTCCTCCACTATTTTATTTTATCTTGACGATCACTTCAGTTGCAACATCCTTTCGTGCACTTATAACTGAGAGCTTATAACTTTAATATGCTTAACTACAAAGTTACTCTAAAAGTGCACCTGTTTCAGGGATTAATAACGGATTTGATGTGGGCAGATCCTGATACGGACGTCTTGAGCTGGCACGTCAGCTCACGAGGATCGGGTTTCTATTTCGGAAAGCAGGTTCCTTCACGAGAAAGCATTCGTTCGATCCAGTGCAACGATACAAAAATATGTAAATGAGAAAGGATGCTGGGCGATTGAATTGTTTATTGAATACTGCTGAATGTTTATTGAGCGATTATAATGTTTACTGAGTAGTGAATGGTGTTATGATAATGAATGCATAATCCAGTGATTAAAGGTGATCGAAGAGACGTGCGCAACGCTCGGTGTTGAACTGATAATACGTGCCCATCAAATGTGCCTCGGTGGATTCTGTGTATACCCGTCGAACAAACTCATCACCATATTCAGCGCACCGTCTTACTCCAATAATTTCTCCAATGCCTCTTCTGTTATCCAAATTGGCAGTGATCTTAAGTGTCGTATTGCCGCTTTTGTACCAAATAAGGTTCATTTATAGCTTTTGTTGATATCTTATATATGTCTTTAATTTGAATCCACTTTAATCTCTTTGAGTGGCAAGATGGATTTCGTTAGTTAGTGGATCAAGCGTTACTGTTATGTGCGTGATCAAGTATCGCTATTATGTACTAAGTGATTCATTAAAATGATTGCCGGATAATGAAACACGTCTATTTCTCAGGTGAACGCTGCAGAGAGAATACAACAAAGACAGCAGTTATGGGAATT